TTGCTGGTCTCCAATCTTCATCTTTGCTGGTCTTCACTTGATTGAGAGAGGCATGGCAGAGAACTTCCCTGGCAGCCCATTCTTGCTGGTCCTGCTCACTCCTGCTGACTCATGTTGACTCAGCAGAGGCCTGGCTGTTTCTGCTGCATCTTGCCACCACTAGTGATTTATGTTTGGTATCCTGACACTACTGAACTGGACTGCTGTTATCCTGACAATGGAGATTAAAATTGCCCAAAGAACTACTTCTAAACAGGTCTACATCCCTTCGTCCTGTTTGCCATATTTTCTTCCCCACCTTTGGACGATGGGCTAGAAGGGAGGGCCGAAGTGTTTGATAATCCGTATTAAAGTAGATTTTTAAAACTCTAAGCCTACAGTACGGAATGTGTCTGGTTCCCATAGGCAGACATGTGCCCTAGGCCTCATATCCTTGCCATGCTCTGTGTGTTTATCCTAAGCATATTGTATGGACTACCATGAGTGGACCAGACATTATATAAACTTTAACAGTTGTCTTGACTGAGGCACTGTAAGGAAGGAAGGACTTACCCACAGGTGAGATTCTACGTGTCACTTATAACCAGGGCAAAACAGTGCCTTAACCTAGATAAAAGGTGCCAATCTAATGAGCTTGCTGGCAGACAGCAGCTTGGTTTCACCCAAATAAATAAAATACCTTATTGGGATTCACATGCTTTTGGTATTTTGTCATATGCAGACAATGTTTGGCAGCTATAGTAGTTTTCAGGCCCAGCTAGCAAGCATATGCATTCTAGGGGACATGCATGTAGCCTCTACCTCTGCTGCCGAGGTTCTGTTCATGAGCATAACACACAGTCCCCAAGGTAATCCTCTACAAAGCTAGGAGGCAGTTCTTGGCTGTCTCCTTCTGAGCCCTTGGCTGTTCAGTGCTTCTCCAGAAATGCACACTGTCTGGTGGATATTAAAGTGTAAGCACAGGGATTGGGTCATTATATGTGGAATTGTTGCCATGGATTCATCTTCAAGTGTCTCCCTGTAGAACTCCATGTCCCTTGGGCCATGCTTTCTCCACATAGCACGAATGGTCAGATGTGGTACATGAGGCATGCCTTCTCCAGGCTGAGAGCTTTTCTTCTACCACTGAACTTACAAAGTCACCTATAAGTAAGGCTATAAGACAATACTCATCCACCATACAGCAAACCAACCATTAACAAATTAAGCTTAGGGCTGGAGAGACGGCTCAGCGGTTAAGAGCACTGGCTGCTCTTCCAGCAGTCCTGAGTTCAAGTCCCAGCAACCACATGATGGCTCACAATCCTCTCATAATGAAATCTGATGCCCCTTTCTGGTATGCAGGTGTACATACAGATATATATTAAATAAATAAAACTGCTTTAAAAAATTAAGCTTAAGCATTTTCTGCCTCTGCCAAACAATGAGAAACACCCCCATGGGATGAAACATGGGAGCTGACTTAGAGGTGAGAGTGCAGGAGTGAAAACTGACAGAGATGTCGGGGTCACCTGCTCAGTTTCCTTGTGGCCCCTTAGATACTTACTGGACTGGCTGGATTGATGTCAAGTCAACACAAGCTAGAATCATCAGAGAGGAAGGAATCTCAGCTGAGGAGATGCCTCCATGAGATCCAGCTGTAAGGCATTTTCTCAATGAGTGATTTTGTGGGTGATGCCACCCCTGGGCTGATATCATGAGCTCTTTAAGAAAGCAGGCTGCACAAGCCATGGGGAGCAAGCCAGTAAGCAGCACCCTTCCATGACTTCCACATCAGTTCCTGCCTCCAGATTCCTGCCCTCTTTGAGTTCCTGTCCTGACTTCCTTCAATGATAAGTAGTGATATGGAACTGTAAGCAGAATAAGCCCTTTCTTCCCCAAACTGCTTTTTGTGGTCATGGTGGTTCATCACAGCAACATGAACCTTAACAAAGACAGGTACTTAAACCGATATTCAATGTACGATTTCCACTTTATAATAGATTGCTTCTGGGCTACCTCAAACGGCTGTAGTATCTATATCTTGAGGGTTAGTTCTGACTACCAAGTTACCTGTGCCCCTGATTAAACACTCTACCAGGGCTAAACGACATGCCAGAGACATTTGTCATCCTTTCTTTCTTGATGATGTGGTCTCACTCAGAGCCTCTGGTATCTGTGCTGTGGATCTCCTTTTAAGACTGATTTCCGGTGAATCCATGCTGTGGCCTTCTGTACTGTGTACATCTCCTAGTATAAGATCTGACACACGCACAGCTTGCTCCTGCCGCACAACTCATTCTTGTCCAAAAGTAGAGTACGTTCATATCACGTCACAAAGTCAGAAAACTCTTCCGTATAGATTTGGTGCCTTGAAAGCTTGGACAGGCCTCACCAAGCACAGTGCATCCTTGTTGCTGGCAGAAATGCAAGACAGTCATTTTCCCTTTACTTTCGAGGGATAGACCCTGACTTGTCCTGCCCACCCCCAACCCAAATTCTTAACACTCATTCTCTGAAGTTCTGTATAGTCACCATTTCCAACCGAGTTGCCATTACAGTAATTCTGACTCATTGCTTAGATTGTTAAGTGCAGCCATCTGGCCTCTGCCACTATTCTAGGATACTATCCTCCACATTGTTACTAACAAAGACATGTTCTTTATGGTAACCTCTGATGACCATTCCCAACTCCAGCAACAACCAAGAAGTTTTTTTAAAAGAGGCTAGTAGTTCCCTCCCTGTCTTGTTCCTGGGAAGGACTATATTATCTTGGGCAACACCTGCCTCATGTAAAAATATAATCTGAAAAGTGAAGGGCCAGAGGCCCACACCTATCACTGAGGAGGCTTGCACTTATTGCAGTATCTGATGCTCCTGAAGAATCCCAACATCCTCCATCTCAATTTTTAGGCTCCTTCCTTCTCTTGTAAGGTTTTTGTCTTCTTTGAAGTTCTGTCATGTGTTCAATTTAGCCTTGGGTCTGGCTGTCAACTCTTCCTGACCTCTCACTCTTTCTTTGAAGGCTGCCAAACAACCTCACTCTAGGGCTTGGAAGTAAATTGCAAATAGACTAGAGCCTGTTTCTCTCTGCTGGGCATTAGTGGTACTCGAAGGCTACCCAGCCACTACTTACCACTCACGTTCCTCAAACACCAGCAACACCGCCTTTCCTGTCCTTCCATGAAGACATTGTGAAAGTCTCATGTGGTGACTGAACAGCTGTTGCCCCTTTGCATCTGAATACCTGTGATGGAAAAAGCCAGGGATATTCCCAGGCAGGAGCCTACCTAGATAAAATCAAATTCAGGTTCTTACAAAGGACTTTCAATCTTGTTAAAGGTTTGAAACCCCAGACTCTCTGGCAGATACTCATGACCTATGGGCGACTCCACAGGATATTTGAAATGGAAATTTATGACAAATGTCATAATGCAGAACTGGTGAGCAGGCTATACAGGAGAATTGAAGACAAATGAGTATTAAAAGTGTAAATTAACTGGCGGGTTGTCCTAGGATCTTTCAAAAAGTCTATCATGACACAAAAATACTGAGAAGGATCAGCCTGTTTTAAAAGGTGCAAAGAAATAGGACATTGTCCACTTGGAAAACAGGAAGGAGACAAAGAGGCAAGAGACATGGATGACTTCTGAAAGCTGTAGGGAATAATTCTTCCCAGTCCCCACAAAAAGTGCCACCCTTCCAGGGTCTGACCTTAGACTGGGTACCCATGGTAGCTTCCCAGCCTCAGAACTATGAAGTAACAAATGAATGTCAGCTACTAACTTTGATAATCTGCTACAGTAGCACTTGGAAACTGAGAAGTTTGTTCTGGAAACAGTGTACCTATACCTTTTGCTAAGAGTCTCAGCATCCTTTGGAGGCACGGTCTTGTGTAGGTCAGGCCTTGATCCAACACAAAGATAACAATGAACTTCTGGAGCCTTCTATCATCATGGTGGGACACCTCCTAGTCCACTTTATGTAGCATGAGGAATCAAACCTAGGCCCTCATGCATGCTGGACAAGCGTTCTACCTCTGAGCTACATGCCCGCCTAGATCCATTTGAACTAAGATAATTTTACTGCTTCTGGTTGCGTGGAGTTTGGGGTGTTTAGAAATACCTGAAGACAGGCTGGAGGTGAGGAAGAATCGCATTTGGCTGAAAGGTGAGGACTGAGGAAAAAGAAGGAAAATATTCCATCATCCGTGGACCCTGCAACCTGGGATTTATAAAACAGGTCTGAATGCAGGCCAGCTTCCTGCGGTCAGTGGGCACAAATGGAAAGCAATCTTTTCTCCTGACTTGATATATTCTTTGTTTGCATTTTCATAAGCTTGTATAGAGCTGGTTTTAACTCTTAAATCTCAAAAAAATATGTATCTAAACAATGTAGGAGGCCAATAATGTTATATAGTGGCATAGACAAGTCAAATTTTGTGGACCAATGACACATTTTAAAATAATCATGTTAGTAAGTCTGTAAAATGAGAGACATTGACAAAGACCACAAAGATTAGTGCAGAAATAAGTCCCAGTATAAAATTATCTTTGGTTTTAAAAAATCACATCAACTCAGGAATCTGCCATCTTCATTATGACCACCAGAGGGCGGAATAACCTTTGTTGAAGATCAAAAACCCAGCTACAAGGGTAGTGTTTTCACATTGTTTTGCTGGTGCTGGTTTGTCTGGCTGGTTTGAGGTTGTTTATTTTAGTCTTCAAGGAGGAAGAAATAATGGAAGGCAGAAAATGAACACAAGGGGCATATTTTGACCTTTTTTTTTTCCATACCACTTTACTAGACAGTTTGCTTTTTATCTTTATCTTACAAGTCATCCTGGGGACCAGGGAACAGGAGAAATGAGGCATGCCTTGTGTTTTCAGTTGCATCAAAACAGAGAGATGACAATGACCAAAAGCACAATGACAGATAAGGTATCGTCCCCACGTTAACATCTTGCCGCACACCATGCATTATTGAATCCCATCCCTACCATGCAATAACAGAACGCGTGGTGACTTAAACCATGGGTTTATTACAGGATGTTAAATGTCTCCATGGGGCATGCTTCCCTTTGGGCTACAGCTAAAGAGACATCAATACAGAGCAATTAAGTTTCTTTACAACAAGGGAAATGGAAAACATTCTTTTTAAATGCAGGGTACGTTTTCATGTGCTCCATGTGGCATGGTACTGCTGAGGAGGTTGGGTTTCTGTGAATGGGACATCCCTCTAACCCATCCATTTTACAGAGATTTAAAAATTTAATTTAAGGGACTTTTACTATTATGGGTGACAAAACCTTAGGCAGGCGGTCACCTCCTACATCCGGGATTGAATTTCTCTTGTGGGTGAGTATACAAAAGCGTTTGATAGGAACGAGATGGGAAATCTCCTTTCCATCCTATTCTGTTAACCGGAAGCAGGATTGTATTCTCAAACTGCATTTGGACACAGCACCGCTTCGACATAATGTGACATTTGAACAGTCACCCTCTGTACCTAGATCATTTGTATCACTGTAACAAAATACTGTCTTTCTCTTTTTACAAAGAAGCCTGTGTCCATAAAATTAAATATGACTTTCATTGGTAGAGTACCTCTCCTCCAAAGACTGAAAACTGATTTTCTTTTCCTTTGTTCCCTCTCCACGTGGTCTGAAGCCTCCATGAGGAAGTGAACAGTCTCACAATCCCATGACTCAGTGCTAATCCCTGAGGCTCTGATACCTGACATGACAGGTCGCATCTCAAAAGGAAAAATTAGAAAAATAAGCATTCTCCATCTCTTTAAAGACTTCTATCCCCCAGCTTGAAAGTTCTCACAGTGGTAACATAGTGTCTTCTATGGAAGGGAAAAATGGAAACGCAACAATCAGGTCAAGCCCCAGTTCTCAGAAGACCCAACCGCAAGGCGACAAGACCTTCAGGGAGAGACTGCTCAGGCAGTGCCTCTAGGGATTCAGCAGAAGCCGCAGCAGCTGGGTGGGTGTGTGGAACCCAGAGCAATAGATTCAGAAGCCAAGTCAGATCATTTGTTCCCCAGCAGGCTAAGGCCAGACAATCCTCCGCAGAGAGGGCTGACAGACCTGAAATTCAAACTCAGATTCTGGCTATACCACTTGGGGCTTTGAGCCAGGCATGTCATTATACTGAGTAATTCACAATCATCCCGATTAGCCTATGGGGTGGTAGGATGCAGGGAATGGGGGTCTGGAACACACAGTTTGCAAACTTCAAAGAGCTGTGTAAATATAAGGCTGGGTTCACACTGAAAATCTGACTCCAAACACAACCTGTTTCTTAGCCTGTTGGAATCCTAGCAACTGCTTGCTCCAACATCTTTCTGGGACTCTGAATCTAACCAAAGATTAAAGCGATGGGAGAACTAAGAACTCTTACAAACGACAGACATCCTCCAAGCGATAGAAAAATGTGGGATCTATGCAGGTTAGCAATATCTCAACTAGTGAGGGTCCCCACCAGGCTCTCATCTGAGTCTTCAGACCAGGAAAGAAAAAGTCCTCCTCCCAGTCCCTCCCACCACCAAAAAAGGTCCCCAGAGAAACCTCATCCTAAACAAGTACCATGGGTTCTGAAATACTCGTGCTCAAAGATCCACCACTGGTGTCCTGAGATGGCTGTTCTGGTACATTCCAGAGGCACAGTCAAGAGTCTCCCCTGGGCTCCACTGGCTATTCATAATCCATTTCCCAGCCATTTACTAGAAGAGATCTACAGGTCCAAAATCTCTTGAACCAGGGAAGAGACTTAAGGGCAAGGTAAAGCTCCTCATGGCTTCTCTTCACTGGGGGTCTCCAGAAGTGTCACCCACTACTCTGCCCACTCCCACCTGTACTCATCCTCCTTTTATGGTCACTGCTGAGGCTGGGTACCCATAGAAGCACCCCCTACTCCCTAACTAAACCTAGCACAGACTGAAAGAGTATTTATTTACAGAATTGGGGAACAGGAATGGGTTGGTTCCCATCCAGGAGGCCTGGACACAGCTGAGACTGGCTTGGGAACGTTCAGCAGGCTGGTTCTACCAAAGCAGAAACTTCCGCTCTGGCCTTCTTGAATTTGTCTTGAGAAATCAGCCTATGGCTTTTAGTCAAGCAATCTCACGAACCAATTTTGCCTTTAGATCTGAGTGTTACTAAAGGAGCTTACATTCAAAGGTCAGTTAAATACGGATGAATGAAAAGCCAAAGTAAAACATTTAAATATAGCAATCAGCCCTCATAAAAAGTGTTTGGGGCTTCAACTTGGGGGAGGATGGAAATCTATAAATTGCTGTTGCTAATAAAAGACATGAGTGAATATTTTGTCTCCAGCTAAGGTTGTTCCAACGCTAATTCACTTCCCTCCATTGCTTCCTTTCACTGTGAACCCCAAAGCATTGCCCTCCGAGCAGCCACAAGACACAGGAGGAATCAATCCTGGTAGACATTAGCCTCTGGAACCGCATGTGATCCAGATGGAGGACACAGTGTGTCCTCTCTGGCTCATCCTGAGGCTTCATCTCTCTGCTTAGTGAATCTTCTAGCTTCTCTTTGCTTCCTGGTTTACTTTTCTCTCTTAAGGCAAGGATTGTTTTTCATTTCAGTGTACAAAAAAAAAAAGTCTTGGTAAAGTACAGGGAAATATTAAACAATTCCTTATGTTTACTTTATAGATATAGATCAGGTGGCCACTTCTATTCGAATCTGTCGAGCCACCTTTGATGCTATGACATAAATATATACATCAACAATTTTCAAAGGGCAAGTGAGACTCGCAATGGGTCCTTAGTGAATTAAGGTTATGATTTAGAAGCTGCCGTTGTGATTAATAGATTGTTTCTCTTGGACATCTCTTTAACAACAAATGCTAATTTTTATTAATATTTAGTTGGGAATTATACTACTTATATTTTATTTGGCCCAAGATTTCATGAGATGTGTTCCTTTGGGTCTATAATTCATGGCATAAATGTCATAAAGCTTGAACTTTATGAATAGAAGAGCTAACCTAAGGTGCTTGTTAAGAAAATGATGTGTAACAGGCATTGAAATTGAAGAACTCTGGAGTTGAGGATGGGGCTGTAGTGGAAAGAAAGCATTCAGAAAATTAGTAGTTATTAATACATGCTCCCGTGGTTTTCTCTCCAGGTTTCCTGAGCATTCGTCATATATCATAGTGCAATACAATTCCAGTAAGTCACTACTATACCTATTTTTCTCAAGCAAAAATGATATGCTTCTGGAATATATATATATTGAACAACACATAATAGTACACTTTCTTTTAAAACACTATAATTTGCATTTCTATAAATATATTTAAATAAGAAACATAGATCACTGATCACATTTCATACCATATGACACATAAACATACAAAAATAAAACGATCCCATTTAACTGTTTTGTTGTTGTTTTGCTGGTCCGGGTTCTTTTCCAAGTTAAGAACAATTCAGAAATAACTTTGTGAATTATTAGGATCCCAGGAAAACTGGACATGAATTCATGCTGGGCACCACAGGCAGGGAGGAACTCAATCTAGCATTCCTTACAGTGGATATTAATATCTTACCACTGTTCAGAGGAGCAGGGGGTGGGGGAATGACATCTCCAATGGTCATGTGATAGTCTGTCTCCTAGACATTGTGAGGAAGGGGCATATTAATCACATCCCCTGCCCTAAGCAAAGCAGAGCCTATGAAACTGTCCTCTGAGTGGGACAGGAAGAAACACCTCCCACTTGGGCTCTCCATACTCTGCCCCCACCATGCTGTCCTCTGCAAATAAGGTGCTCAGAAAGTAGAACATTGACATTAAAAAGAGCCTTGTGTTCCACAAATGCCAACATATATCCAGTTCCAGTCACTAAGGAAGAAACTCCTCCACTTGCAACGTTTTGCAGGACTCTGCTTCCCACCAAAGTGGATTCTACATGCTTCTTTTGCAAAACAAAATAATAACATGAATCATTATCCCTAGTAAAAGTGGGCCTTTTGTCTATGGCAGGTTGTAATTCTCTTGAAAGCAAAAAGAGGGGGTTTACCCATTTCACATCCCACCTAAAGCCTAGTATTCCTGCCAGCTCCCAGTAGGAGCACAGAAGATATGCCTGCTCAGATAACTCCATCACTCCGATCGTATTGAGGAAGGCAACATCTGGGAGCCTGGACTCCCACTGCATCGGAACTGGCTTCACCTGGGTTGCATCCTTGGGAGGGAGGGATGATGTCTCAGGAACTGGGTTTGGGGTTTCCTTGTAACCAGAATGTATGCCCTGGCAGCATCCTGTAGAGTGGTACAGTAACAGGGATGGGGGTGGGGTCCCGGCATCTGCTCAAAGAGAATTTTCCACACAGTCAGAAGAAGTGGGGTTCATGATTTCCTGAGGGGTGACCTCAGGGTCCTGAGGTACCTGCTGCTGATAGATGTCCTGGATCAGCAGGGTGTTCATGACCTTCCACTCTCTGTACTTCCTGGCTGTCAGCTTTGGATCATCCAACAGCTGGTTGATCATAGCCAAATCGTGTTCTTTGCACTGGCCGGGAAGAAAACAGGAAGGAAAGGGGGAACCGTAAGTGCATGAGGACCTGAACTTTGGTGAGTCAACTTTCTCAGCCCTCTCACAGACACAGGGACCCATCTGCACAACACTACCAACGTGGTTCTGCGCATTAATATTCTAATCTCGCAACACGCCTGAGGTCGGGCTTAATATCTCTTCACATGTGGGAGCCATAAGAAGCTGTATATCTTCACCCCCAAGTTAATGAAAGACCCAGACAGTCTTCTACGCTGCTGCCCTTCATCCCTCTATGACCCCACACCACAGTGGGGACTCCATCTTAGTGTATCATTGGGTGCTGGCTCTCTCTTGAGGCTCAGTTAAAGCTGAACACAGAAGATACTTCATTGACCACCCGAACCTCACTAAATAAAGCTGGAACATAACACTTTACCTGAGGCATACAGTAACAAAAATATCTTTTTTAATTTTTGTAGATTTTAAAATATTTTAGTAAGCCATATTCTATTAACACAGAGATTTATATAGGAAAAGTATGGTTTATTATTCAAGGATGAGACACCTAACTTCCCCCAGGACAGCATGCATGCCAGTACAAAATAACTTGTCAACGCTTCGTGGACAGTCACTCAAATTTGAAGTAAAAGAATAAAAATATAATCAGCATCCCACAAAAAGTGCGTCACTCTGCCCTGACAACTGTTAGGTTAGCGAACGGACTGGATGTCTCAAGATGGCACTGAGTCGATTACTGGGGACTAAGGAGCTTATTAGGAGACTTATTAACACCATGGACAGACAGACAGACAGACAGACAGAAGACAGAGGGGCAACTGATGGCAGGGATTCTGGCAGCACCAAAGAGATCATTTGTAGGGCTCTCTGAAAAGAAGCAGAGCCCACATGGGGAGAAATAGGAGTCTCATTTTATAGCTCTCTGAGGACAGGGGAGGTTCAGCAAGAGGCTGGAGCCAGGCTCTGATTCCTGGGCAGAAGCCAGTGAAGGGGAACAGGGTGGACACGGTACCAATAGCCCCAATATTGCCAATGCCTGATTTGATGTTAACTCACTTCCCAGGGGAGAAACCCTGTTAACCAGGGCCTCAGAATGTCCCAGTCAGGTGTCTGTCCATAGCTATAAGAAGCCTAAGCAGAGGCTTGGCTCTAACCTAAGAACATAGATATCATTTTTATCACAAATGGTTTTTCTCCATATCTAGAACCATGGTGCTAATTGGGCACATGCAGTCCAATACATAACACTGGCCCAGTGCTGCTGCAGCCTGCCAGGAGGTCCTCGCCTCTGATGCTTTACTTTAAATCCATATACTGTATAGAAATGCTGGGATCCCCTTACGTGCTGAGTCTTCTTCACGACTTCTTTCATCATGCACCATGCTCTCAAGAACCCCAGCTCCATTTGCCGGCCCTCCACCACCAGCCATGCTGCCTCTCCATATAGAACTGCATCCTCATGGGAGGACCAGCAGTCTCAATTGACCTGGACTCCCGAGATCTCTCAGACATAGAGCCACCAACCAGGCAGCATACACCAGCTGATATGAGGCCCCCAACACATACAGCAGAGGACTGCCGGGTCTGGTCTCTATGAGAGAAGATGCACCTAACCCTCTAGAGACTTAAGGCCCCAGAGAGTAGGGAGGTCTGGTGAGATGGGGGTTGGGGGATGGGGATATCCTCTTAGAGATGGGGAGGAGGAAGTATGAGATGGGAAGCAGTCAGAGGGGGGCAGACCGGGAGGGGGATGAAGACTGGACTGTTAAAAAAAATAAAGAATAAAGAGAGAGAGAGAGAGAGAGAGAGAGAAGAAAGAAAGAGAGTATTGGCCTATTTTTTCTCACCCACACAATGCTGGTTTACACCTCCAAAATGCTGAGCTACCTGGAGCGTCTTCCTCTTCAACACCTCAGCTCGTACTTATACTGCCAGCTATCAAATTCAGTGGAAAACTGTGAGCTTGCAACTTCAACCAAACACCCTTATTTTCATGCTCTTATGCCCATCTGGGACAAAGCCTAAAATTCACTGTAGCCTAAAATTCACTGTAGTCTATTTAGACATCTGTCCCAAAGCCTAAAGGGGGCTGGAGAGTTGAGTTGGCTCTATGGGTAATGACTCCATGTTGTGCAATTTTTGAGGATCTGTGTGCTAGCTAGTTTTATTTCAATTTAACACAAATTAGAATTATCAGAGAGGGACCCTCAATTGATAAAATGTTCCCCATAAAATCAGGCTTACCCAAGCCTGGTGGGGCATTTTCTTAGTGACTGACGTGATAGGACCCAGTCCATGAGTGGAACCATGCCTTGTGGTACTGAATTCTATAAAAAAGGCAGGCTGAGCAAGCCATGAGAAGCAAGTCAGTAAGCAGCATCCCTCCACAGCCTCTGCATCAGCTCCTGTCTCCAGGTTTCTACCCTGACTTCCTTCTGTGATGACAGTGGTGTGGAAGTGTGAGCCAAATAAACCCTTTCATTCCCAAGTTGGTTTTGGTCATGGTGTTTCATCACAGTGATAGCAACCCTAAGACAGTCTGAGCTTGAGTCACCAGCACTCACATAAAAGGCCAGGATAGTTGCCTGGGCCTGTAAGCTGGCATTGCAGTGGGGTCAGAGATGGTGGAACTGGAGAGCTCCTTGTACAATCAACCTCACAGAAAGGCCCCTTCTGACTCAACAAGCAATTAGGTCTCAGGACAAAAGGTTGAAAGTGATAGAGAAAGACATTCCACTTCTTCCTTTGGCCCACACTTGCGTGTGCTTGAGTGAGTTACATATTCACACCCATGGACCACATATACAATTCATCAATTAATTAACCAAGCCTCCTGAAGATGACAGAAAATGCCACTCCTGCATCCTTATACTCTTGGCTCATGCCATGTAGACAGTAAGCACCTGTTCACCATCAGACCCATCTCTGCCACCCCAGGGAAGCATTTACACAGCCCAAATGCCACAGTAATGTTCACTGCTCTAATCTCAAGCTTGTGCTGACTACCAGTCAGCACTCTCATCCTGAAAGGTCAGGAGGTCACACTTCTGTCTTCCCCTTCTGAACTGAGAGTCCCATGAGGAGAGATGTTTGTCTGATAAGATGACTGGCCTGTGGAAGCTTGAATATATGCAGCCATAAAGAAGAATAGAATCCTGTCATCTGAGGCATAGAATGAGAAAGCATGGCGTTAAGTGGAAACAAAGCAAATAAAGAAATACAAGCATACAATGGGTTCTTTCATATGTAGAAATCTTTAAGAAATCAATATGAAAGTAAAAGAGCAATTGCGAAGGACTGGGGAGGGGTTTAGGAGGAAGAGGAAGCCAGGAAACAAGAGCAAAAAGGACATGCCCATGGTGAATACATAGCATACAGCTGTGAACAATATCATATTGTAAAGAATCATGAGGTTTTAGTAATAATAAAGCTGTCCTTCTAATTTCCAAGGAGACAAGGGGAGAGAGGACACTCGCCACGAGCCACCCAGTAATGATAGTCTATATTCTTTCCCTCTTCTGCTCACCAAATGGCTATTTAAAACTCACTCAGGCTGGAAGAAGGCTCAATGCAAAAAGAAGTACCAGCCACACAAGCGTAAAGACCTGAGTTTGCATGCTGAACTCATATAGAACCAGGCATGGTAGCGTGTAACTGTGATCTTGGCGTTCCTCAGTCTTCCATCTCCACTGGCATCCTTACTGACACTCGTGCCCCCTGTTAGTCCTCACTGGCTCTCCTGTGATGTTATCTCTTCTACCTTGAAACTTTTCTCTGACCCCCATCTGGCTCAGGCTCCACTCTCCTTCTTGTCCCAGATGACCTTTATAGTCATCCTTCTGCCCTGCCAGCCTTTCATCTCCATGACTCCATCAAACCCACTCCAGGGCTGCTCATCGGTGACCTCCATGTTAGCTTACCCAGTGTTTTAACTATCCGTCTTCATATTCATCAACATATGTAAAGCTGCTGGCCACCACTCTACCTTGAACATGGCTATGTGGCTGCTTCTGTGATATACTATGATCTTGACTTTCCTTGTCCCTTCACTGGGACTTTACCAGCTTCTTGTTACCCAAAGTCTTGCTCCTGGAGTGTTCAGGAGTGCCAGTGTTTGTCTATGTCACTGTTCTCCATGTATTAACATGCTTGGTGGTGTCTGTAATCTCATACCTCCATTTCCCTTAGAAGCTCGTGATCCCGGATTTATCTCTCTCCTAAACCACATACTTGTTCATCTAAATTTGCCATTAGCTCTATTTAAACAGCTATTTTCATGCCAAATATGACAAATGTAAACCTGAGATCCTTGTATTCGCCTGTGCCTTTACATGCCCACAGTCTAGAGTTCAAGTATTTCTAAATAAATACTTCATCATACTATGGCATACATAAAGAAATTTGCCCAAACACAAAGGTTTGGAGTTGAGAATTCATCTCAAAAAATGAGCCCACTCTATAATCGACTCCTAAGTCAAGAAAAAAAAACCCTCTCCTCTTCCAGTACCCACCTAAGAAATCCCACTTGTGTGCCTTCCCAATAGCTAAAAAAGCATTATGATAGCTTTGCTCGTGACTAAACATACACTGAGTAGTTCATCCATTCAATAAGTCATGGTTTGTTTTTTGCTTCTTTTTATAGTGAGTAGTGGTATTATTTTGGCTGTTACCTTTCCCTGTTTGTCCTACAGTACTAGCAGGGGTGAACTCAAAGCTTTGTGCATGCTATATAAGCGCTCTACCATGGGGTTATATACCTAGCCCTTGTTATTTCTCAACATAGCCAGGTTACACATGACAGAGGTCAACTGGCTGTTGAGGGTCACTGGGTAACATACCATGAGGTATGAGGTACCATGAGCTACAGTTCATAGCCCTCCACTCCTCTAACACCAAGCAATCCATAGAAAGGAGTGCTTTCCACTCACCAGAGAGCAGTGAAACTAGGTTTAAGAAAAAAAACCTTGAGAAGATGCCCAGCATCCCCTTGTCTCCTGAGATTCATCTGTGTGTGGAATCCTCTTCTAGATTAGTGGTTGCCCTAATACCTGGCTGCTGTCCAACAGAACATCACAGAAGAAAGGTGGTTTGGCTATGGTGACTGGGTTCACTCATTTTGCTCACTCACTGCCTCTGGCTTTTTGCTGGCTGGGAAAAATCAGCCACTCAGCTGTGAGCTGTCCTACATAGTCTACCTGAGAAGAACCTGAAGTCAGCCTCCACTCCTCAGAGGGACAGCAGCTGAGGTGCTCAGTTCAATAAGCTGTAAGGAACCAAATCCGTCAAACAGCAACCTGGGAACCGAGAAGCCAACATCCCCCGGTGAAGAAATGAAACAGCCTGTGGGACATCTGAATCAGACAGCCACACAAGATCCAACAGAAGAATCCCATGTCCAAGCCATGGCCAGACTGTGGAGCCACAGAAATTTTAAATGAATAAATGCTTCTTACTTGAAACTCCTGAGATTTAGGACAACGAGTTGACTGGAGATAGAGGCCTACTCTACTGAGAGAAAGAGATCACTGGAGTCATCCATTACACAGCCTAACTATGAAAAGCAAGAAGTCTCAGGATACTAGAGAGGCTGGTAAATGCCTTTGGTGTTTGTTTGTTTGTTTGTCTGTCTGTCTGTTTGTTTTTGTGTCAGACAACACAGGGTATTGTCAAGGCTAGAATCTTCAATCTCCTTGTCTATGGAATCTGGAATCACAGTCTTCTTCGTATAATGTTCTGAGCTACCTACCACCTCACTGGCTTCTATTTCATGCTGCTTCCAACCTGAACCAAAATATATCACCCCCCCATTCGATGTTCTCTTTCCCTGAGGGCCTTTCCCTCGTCCTCCCTTAGTCCTGGACCAGCTGTCAGCTAAACACAAGGACCCTAGACAGTCACTTCCATCCTCTGGGACATTAAGGCTCCCAAAGCATGCATCCACTACTTATTGTACTCCACTTTAACCATCTGTTTTCCTGTCTCCATTGTTCCTGGCATGCCACTCTATGGTCACAGTGACCTGGGACGGGGTTTGGTACATGGTAATATGCAAGAAAATAGCTCTCCAATGACAAAGTCATTCTTCCCTCAAGGCAGTGAAATCTCAACATTCTCTGCCATATTACACTCAATAGCCCAGCACATTAATCAGCCCTGCACACACCACAACATGAATGCTAGCAGCATCCCCTCATCACTAACCATTAGAAAATTTCTGGGAATTTAGAGTTTCTTTGTCACACTGATCCATTCATCCATTCTTTTCTGAATCCTTTCCAATCCTTTTTATTTTTATTTTTTCTGTTTTACTTGGTTTTTCTCTTGACTAACTGGGATGTCTGACTGGGATGACCAATTCCCACTCAACTAACTCAGCATTGTCCTGATGATTGCTGACATTTCTTCCTGGAAAAAGACTCTAAATTTCTATTGTGAAAGGACATGCACATTTCAAAATTAAATTGCAGGATCTATTCAGAATCTATGAGTCTTCAGAGAATTTAAGCTGACTTATACAGAGTACCCTGCCCTCTCTCTGTTGGTATTGTAGCCTAAATGTAAAAGGACTCTGTTCTTGTTGTGAGGAACCCTTTGTTATGGGAGCAAAAAAATCTCTGAAAACAGCCCCAGGGCATCCTGCACAGTGTCCCTGTTCTCATGTGACAGCATCTGACCATCTGATGGGTTGTTTTTGCTTTGTTTCTAACTACAGAATGTATGCCTTCCATTACCTGGCTCTCACCTTGCTTCTTGGCTGTAGTGCCTACAGCTGACAACTTGGAAATATTCTCCTGGAGAGTGCTAATAGTGGACATCTTTAATCACAGCACTCAGGAGGCAGAACCAGGTAAATCTCTGAGGTCGAGGCAGCCTGGTCTACAGAGTGAGTTCCAAGATGGCCAAGACTACACAGAGGAACTCTGTCTGAGAGAGAGAGAGAGAGGAGAGAGAGGAGAGAGAGAGAGAGAGAGAGAGAGAGAGAGAGAGAGAGAGAGAGAGGAGCAAAAACTCTCTTCTATGCCCTCGAATGAGTCAGGTGACATCCTGATTTCAATTACTGCTTATTTTTGCCAAGGGAAGCTTTGTTTTGCTCATCAGCAAACAATCCTAAGATCAGTGATGAGGAATGGATGTCCGCAGAGGAATAGAACTTTCTGCACATAAACACTTAAGCTAACAGTGACTGGACTCTATACATAAGACCTTAACAAGATCAAGCTCCCTGTGCCCATCATGGACCTGCGAAGGGCTCATCGATGAAAACAGACAGGCAAATGATACATGATAGGGAAGCAAGAGTCAGTTCTCTTCAAGGATATGACCCCCAAGAGGCCACCCTTGCTGGAGCTAATGGTCCTACCTCATGCACACACACGCAGCACTAACTGCAGCCGGTGGGTTTTAAAACAAGAGATGGAAAGAGCAGATGAAGTTGACTGGTGAAAAAAAAAAAGAAATAGTGGGAAAGGAACAGAAGAGGGAGGGGGTTGATCAAAATATATTATATGCATGGATGAAATTCTCAAACAATCTAATTTTGAGCCAAGTATTGTGGTAGACACACAATTACAAGAGCAAATTACACACCATCCTTGCCATCTGGGACTTGGGAACTCAAACTTTGAATCAGACTGAATGTAAAATCATAGTCTGTTATGCACTGATGCCACTATGTCATGACAGGGTGCCTTTAAAAGGTCACGGACATCTCGGTGTAAGGATGTTACTTTCTCTGGTCCTCCCACCTCCCACACAAGCACTCTAAGATGGCCCTGAGTCTCTCTGCACAGACAGCCATTCTTTGCCTGCTTCCCCTGCCCCCCCACCCACCTCCCAGGTCGTCCATCTTACCTTTAATGTGCTGTTCAAGGTTCTGATCCTGTGCAGCTTCTCATTTATGGATGGGTTTTTGCATCGCTTCACAAAAGACTTTCTCAGCTCCTTCTTGGTTGATGGCCGCCGGTCCCCAAGAGGAGACAGGCTAGCCTGCTCTAAAGATTTGTACAGTTTTTCCATCTCATCATCTTCAGACGATTTTATTTCTTCTGTTTAAAAAGATCAGTATCAGCAAAGCCAAATTACAACCAGAGAGTGAACATCAGACACTGTAGTCTTAAAGGGGTTCTGCTCACACCTTCAATCTCAGACTTCTGGTCTCCAGAAGTATACAGCAGTGATGCTGTGTTCTCTGACCACTCATACCATGCTGCCTTGCTACTCCGGGGACTGTGAACCATTTAATGATTGTATAGTTGTAATGTACCCTAGTAAGGCCACACACTGACCTACTGCTTGGACACTTTGGGGCTACAGTAGAACTTCAATGTTATCAGTTTTTATGGGACACAATTCAGTCAACTCCTAGCCCCTTAAAATCCATATTCTCTCATACAGAGAAGACATGTATTTCATTCCAATGCCCCTCACCCCGGGTCTTAAATCATGGACTCAACATGGACTCTAAGATCAGTATTGCACCCACATATCCTCGAAGTTAGGTATTGGGAGACTCGGAGATAATTCATCTGGGTGTGAAGTCCCTCTCCGTTTCTGAACCTGTGAAACAGATAAGTTGCCTTATAGACAAGCCCTGACACCTAATGCTTACCATAAAGTCTGAACACCTGCTGCCTTGGAACCTTTCCAGTGTCTTCTGAGGAAGAAGCCCTGCCTGTTCGCCAGTTGTAGAAAGACAGTTAGCATTTCTCAACCTGCTCCAAGCTACACTTTTCAGCCTCAGCCCTTCAGAGTCTAGAGAGAAATGAGCCTCTGCAGGCTATTCTAGAATAGGCAAACCAGTGGGTGGCCAGGAAGACTGATCCTAGAACATTGGTTGGGAACTGTCAAGAGATAACTTGCTACTTAAAAGGAAAACGAAAAAACAAAAAACTAAATATGGTAGTGTGTGGGCTAAAAGTTTTCCAGGAGTCATCCTAAAAACTAGAATGAAACTAGTTCTCCTCTTGAAGCCCTCTTAATTCTAAGGGGCCAATGTGTCATCCTCTTTGAATCTACACTGGGTATGGCTTTCAATCATAAGTAACCATGGAGACCTTAAATGGCAGTAGCAGCACCTGAAAGAGATGTTGACTCTTTGGCTGTCTTTTATCTCTCATAGAGAATTTCAATTCATTGTTCCTTTGTTTCCTGAAAACTATCTTGAGAAGTGTGCGCAACACGTTTTCTTCCCCCCCACCCCCACCTGCATACGCAACAGTGTTTACATTCCCTGTTCTGTGGTGGAAAAAAAGATCCAGAGAGGGCCCTATGCCCACCGTGATCATGGAAGCGGGCTGATTAAAACAGGCTCTGAGGCAAACACATAGGTTAATGTGGGGATGCCAGAACCAAACTTCAGTTACGTCACAGTTTATTCTTCTATAATTAGAAATACTTAAAAATTAGCTTTTCCCCATTGACCTCAGATAGTCGCTACAAGGTGTCCTCAAAACTTACCTGAGAGGAAGAGCAAAATGTTCCCAACCATTGGCTTAAGTTGTTAATCAGAGTAACATTGTCTTTTCTTTTGTTTGAGACAAAGTCTCACTGTGTATCCTGAGCAAGCCAGAACTGGCTATGAGGGCCAGGCTGTCCTAGAACTCACAGAGATCAGCTTACTGGTACCTCCTGAGTGCTAGGATTAAAGACAATTCACCAGTACTCTTGGCCCAGAGCAACTTCTTATCTCTTAATCAAATGGCATCAAAAAAGGGAGAAAATGTATAAAAATACATCTGAAGATAGACTTCTGGCCCCAGGCATTGTGCAACAATCAAAAGTCAACTTTTGTTAATAAATTCAAGAAAAGTTATCTCCGTCATTAGGGAAATGAAAATCAAAACCACAGAGGGATAGCATGTCCTGCTTCTCAGGATTGCAAATATAAAGAAGGCAAATAAGAGTTAAGTGTGGCCAAAGATATAGAGATAGGAGATCTCATTTACCATCAGTAAGAACGAAAAGCAAGCCAGAACTTCAGAAAGTAGGTTGATGGTCCTCACTATGGCACAATGACAATAGGACCCTGTAACTACACATCTAAGTTTATATTAAAGAACATTGTTCACAAGAAAAAAGGAGAAGAACCTAAGTAATTGATTATTAATAGATGAATGGTTAAACGGAATGTAGTATGGAACTCGCACCATAGACCACTAGCCAGCAACTTAAAACAACAAAGAGTAGACAGGAACTTAGGAAAGATACCTGAAGTGATCCTCTAGCTTAAATATACACATGTACACACACACACACACACATGCACACACATGTACATACATACAGCAAGAGAGGCACACACACACACGGGGGCAGGTGCTAAATGTATAATAAAATATGTGAGAAAGGGGAACACAATGTGCATTATTTAGTTAACAAACGTATCTCGAGTTTGTCCAGAAGTGTGTGTACTGAGGAGAACACACCACCTACCAGTGTTATCCTAATTCTAGCCGAGGAGAGATTTTATCCACCTCAGATAGCCCAGTCTACCCAAGAGACGATTATAGCTGGTCAAGTGCATAAAAGTTACAGTCTTAAAAATAGGGCGTGGCCAAAACCAACCTGTGTATGCATACGCCTGGCAACTCGAAGCCTTTGGGTAGAATATGTCTGTTGCCCATTTCTGCTTCCTACTTTCTACATCATCACAAATGAAGTGGAGGGGAGGAGTTGAAGACCAAGACCCCCACAATCCCTGACCATTAGGCTTACAGCCACTGTTTTGAAAGAAGAGCTACAGGAAAGAGTACTCACTGTAACTCTAGACTGAACTTGCAAGCTGAATGTGACTATGTTTGGGAAACAGTGAGACCTTCCACAGCACTGTGAATGGGATGGAATGGGAGACTTCTGTTATATATCTGAGAAGTGTTTGATAGTCACCATTATGTCACTGAGAAATGACATGACCAGTGATATGTGCATATAAGGAGTTTCTTCTGAAGATGAATGATTACTGCATAATCAATTGAGTATCGGAGCTTCCTCAGGTTATATAACTGATGCCCACATAAGAGCCAGAAACTGGAAACAACCCAGATGTCCCTCAACTGAAGAATGGATACAGAAAATGTGGTGCATTTACACAGTGAAATACGACTCAGCTATTAGAAACAAGGGCATTATGAATTGTGTAGGCAAATGGATGGAACTAGAAAATATCACCCTGAGTGAGATAACCCAGACCCCAAAAGATATGCATGGTACAAAATATCCAAAGGAAAAAAATTAGTTTTCATATAAATAAATCAAAATAGGAAAAAATGGTTTGAATTTTAAAAAGAAGATGCTAATGGTGAATCTTATATTTGCAATTAATTAGTCATTCAATTTGAAAAGTTGAAGCAAGTTGAAATTTTATATAATTATTTTCAAATCTGTTAACTTTCAAAGATATTGAATACAAACTAAGAATTTCCAAAGAAAGTAGTTTAAATTTAAATAGATAAATGTTAAGAAAGCTTTCTTGAAGTAAAAAATAATTTTAACAAAACAAATAAAAGAAAGAAAGAAAGAGAGAGAGAAAGAGAGAAAGGAAGGAAGGAAGGAAGGAAGGAAGGAAGGAAGGAAGGAAGGAAGGAAACACTCAGGGCTGAAGAGATGTCTCAGCGATTAAGAGCACTGACTGCTCTTCCAGAGGTCCTGAGTTTAATTCCCAGCAACCACATAATGGCTCACAATCATCTGTAATGGGATCTGATGATTTCTTTTGATGTGTCTGAAGACAGCAAAAGTGTACTCATATACATAAGATAAAAATTAATATTTAAGAAAAGAAAGAAGAGAAATGAAATGAACTAAAATGAAATGAAATGCTAATTCATCCACAGTGTTACAACATGGATGAAACTTGGAATCATCATTTTTTTTAAAAGTCAAAAAAAAATAGTCTATGATTCTATTATATAAAATATCCAGACCAAGCAAACTCATGGAGACAGAAAACCACCTGGGCTGCTGAGGGCCCAGACAGGAATGAGAAATAATAATAATAATAATAATAATAATAATAATAATAATCATGTAATACAATAAAATAATACATAATAATGCATAGGGCTTTCTTTTCATTGGGCTAAATGTTCTCAAATCATGCTACAGTAATAGCTGTATAACTCTGTGGGCACACTACAAATCACTGAACCATCAATCTGATGCTAGGTGATATGTGTCAAGATAGTGTTGAAACACTAAAGTAGACTTGTATAAGATCTCATGAGAGTAGATGTGTTCACAGAAAAGCCCCTAAGTCCTGGAGATAAGCTAGAGACAGCATAAAGTCCTTTAAAAACTAAATGGAGCCAGACTCTGTGATCCTAGCAGTTGGGTGGCAGAGATGGGAAACTATCCAATTCAAGGTTAGCCTGGGCTATGGAGCAAAATCTTATTAGGCCAGCCTGGGCCACAAAGCAAGATCTTATTGCACTGGAAAAAAGGCAAAGGCTTGTAATGCAGCACTAGAGTTGAGAACTTGCCAGAAACATAAGGAAAGATAACCTGTTGTAACCTCTTTTCATAGCTAATCAGGTAGTGCTCTGAGTAAAAATTCCCCAATATATTTATTTCATAAACAACACCTGCAAACATACTTTAAGAAATAAACAAGCATGCAAAAAAAGCTAAATAATTGTTTCATTGACTCCCCCAGTACTCACCAAGCAGGAGTTACTGAAGACAAAGTTAATAACAGAATCCGCTCTTCACTAATATGGTACATGAATAATAATTATGCCAGGGTAAAGTTGTAGTAAGATGATTCATCTAGTTCAAAAGATACCAAATCAGTGAAGATAAAAATAACCTTAAAGGTTTGGAATAGCAAGTGTGTTCTCCAGATTTAAAAGAAAATAATAGTATTTTTTTGGATAATTTTTGTTATCTTTTAATATACTTATATAAAGTATATAATCTTAATGTTAATATCAGAAGCTGTATCCCGACCAACACACACACATACACACACACAATTTCCTTCCCTAGTTTAAACTTTGGGTCATTCATCATGAAGGTATTAGTGTGTGTGTGTGTGTGTGTGTGCATTTAA